AAGTCTTCTGGTACAAAACAGAAGTGTATATAAACACTGATAACTTCAGTGTACTTGTTCATATAGAAATTCCAGTATACTGGTAAGTGTATTCTCATTCATATTGAACAGTTATCTTAGGTAGGTGGTCGTCGTTTTATGTTGATCTAATCAATCTCGTCGTTATTCGCATTTGTTCCATTGCTTCTCCTTGTATTAATCTTGATTCAGCTCAGACGAGTTGTGCATGCACTACGTTGAAAGACATTTCTGTTTCGTTCTTGTTGATCCACATTCACTTTAAGATTTCGTATTCTCATCATTGAAATGCATGCATCTTCTAATATCTTGTACTTCACTGGACATATGCTGCAACATTGTCTCAGTACTCGATTAACCGACAACTGATGAATACAAAAGGTTGTTGGTTTTCACTTCAAGCTTTTAGTCTGTGGTTTCCGAGATTCGACTGCCTTCAGAACCGATAATGTATAAAGTTATGTCAGAATATTTACATGATGGTTGTATTCTGTGGGTAGAAGAAATGATGGACTGCAAAACCTAGAATATGCAATGATGAATTCAATAATGGTATCGATATACCAACAAAATATTTTCTCATTCATAAACTTAGATTGATTGAAATTGAGACTTTCACTCCGATCGGTGACTGCTGCAGTTCACACGTTGACAAATCCCATTACATTCTTCCTCTTCTTCTTCTTCGATACCATTGAAAATAGCAACCTATAAGCTGCAGTGTTTTGCATAATTTAGCGACACTTACCGTCAAGGCTGACATGACTGCTTGATAATCATGCTTTCAAATAAATCCTGACATGATGCGATACACGTACACCAATCGCTTGTATAAGGGTGGTAGCCTGGGGAAACAAAGTAAAAAATTAGTCTGAGCATGCTGTGGTGAGAAGATCTGAATGGAAAGATGTTCATGAAATCAGTAAAAGCCACATATCTTCAACTACTCACATTGTGAGAAGATGCAGCAAAACACAATGAACTTCTCGATGGATGTTTTGTTCTCTCTATGACATGAAGATTGGGGAATTATCAGATGTAGAAAACAATAAACTTTGACGGTTCGTACGCCATGGCAGTCATAGTCACAGAACATCATTTTCATTGATGTTTTCCTGCTATCGACTCAATCGAGATTGATGTAGTTAAGTTCAGTGAAGATGAATGACTCAGAAGTGACGTATCGTCTGTGTGGTTGCTGTGAGGTATTCGTTCACCCAGATTACTGCAAAAACAGTCAGAGCATATCTGTCAGGCTCCTGTTTCCAGCAAAGGCAAGACGGTCGATGATATCGCCTTATATGCTTACGAGCGATTTCATCAAACAAAAATTTCCCCAGTAATGACTATTACGGAACTGAAATAGATTCACTGAGCAAATCTTATCTTATCAATATCCTGATTCATTGAATCATTTACTAAAGGGTATCATTTATGAACTGACTGCTTGATTTGTTTCAGTTGAGGATCAGTCGAAAATGAAGTAAGTCAATCAACAGTAATCCCTTCCTGTCAATATCATTCTGTCACTCTTACAACAACCATCCTTTTACAGGGATATCACAACTTGCATCATCAACAGTACTTCCATTGCTTTAGAATATACATCTGACAAACTTGCCTTAACTTAGTTGATCGGATCGAACGTCACTGCGCTGTGATGCATCAATTAACAATACTTGATCCGTATTTCTCATCAAAAGTGTCAGGAATTCAAAAGAAATTCACCTGTTCGAATAGAGGTACTCGACATCTGTCAGCAGTTGAACGCAGAGAAGTAAAATAATCCTCATAGATGGTAGATATTTCAGTTGATTTGTATTCGAGAAGTGAGGAATGACCTTATGTAGCAGGAGTTTGTTTTCTGATCAACTCAGTTAGTAAGCGATTACTTTCGATTTCACTTGAAAGCTGCCATGTATGTCATCTAAGATTTTCATCAGCTTACTTTGGGTAAGTGCTGGCTTACAGAATTCAGATGGGGAATGTTGTAGTGATCATGTTTTATCCACTAATAATGAGCTGGTAGGACGAGGCGACAAAGGGGAACTGTATTTCTATGTGAATCTGCGTTGTATTTACTATTGATAGACTCAGATTGTCGGAAGCGGATTGCGCTTATCGGTACCAATAGTCGGCCAAATCGGAATGATGTGAACATCGGTAGGGGATTTGAAGTCCTTACGGGGACGACTCATCAACCGTGTCCTATTGCTGATTCAGGTAAAACTGGCTTCGTGTTGTGACTCAGTTCAATAATGACAAGCCACTTGTGTGCACTAACAATAACGAGTAGCAAGTCACGTTTTATAAACCTTCTCATTTACGTCTGGTCATTGTATTGAGTAAATGAGAGTTCTCACCCTCAGCAATTGTGTTTTGATCTGAAGGTTTCACCTGCAGATCATGTCTTGTTGTTTCGTGATTTCTGTGGACCAATAACCTTATGAACACTTCTTTTCTAAGTGACTTCCTGTGGTCCTCGACTCGTAAACATCGGAAACCTATATTATCTTTGTGCGTCCATATCTTCATTTCGCTCTTTTTTCAAATCCATCCTCAGCTTTTGGATTCTGATTCCTCTTGCCACGATCGCCGTTGCAGTTTCTGCCACTGGAGACCAGACAAGCTACTTCCTTCATCTTCGTTTTCTAACAACAGAATGTTACTACAAGGTAATTTTGTCACGCGGTGGTTACTACAATGATGTAATCAAATCACCCTCTTGATTACTGTTTCATTCGTAATTCAGTTCTCCTCTTTGTCACATTTCCGTTTCGTGATCGAATCTTAAATTTGTGGCCATCAAAGAGATTTTTGAGACATGCATCTTCAAGTGAAACCGGCTGTGAGAGTATCTATCGTTCTCCTGAAATCATGCGTATTTTTGGCCACTGGACGAGTACAGTCAGTACTCGATGTAATCCTGTCTTATACTAGTTTGAGCAGAACAAGACGATGGGATGTAAGAAGTGCCAGAAATCTGTGTGTCAATCATGGGTATACGTAAGCTTTCTCGACATTCTACACCATTTTGTCACCCAACAGTTAGGTGTGCGGATACACTGACAAGAGACACAATTCCACTACAATCAGCCTCCCTCTTGTTTTCCGATAATTTAATGATAATCAACTAGTGTAGTTGTACACATCTGCACTAACCAAACTAGCAGTATTCAATAATACAACTGATTGTGAGAATGCACATGTCGTGACTTCATGTAGGGGGATTACAAACTCAACGTCTCAATGTTACAAATGTACGCTCCACCAACTCTCTGAATCCTTATTTCACAACAGACGGCTTGGTTTAATATCAACCTTACAATTTACCAACACTCATCTGTTCGGCACTATAAGCAATAAAGCGATCAAGCAAGGAGGCTTGTTCGCCAACAGAATAAAGGAGTACATGATGCTCTTGGTCTATTCCCAGTTCGAATAAACTTTCGATGAAGTGAATGAAGCTTTCTCTCAGGCACAAATTCACTATGAAGGAAGAACGGGAGAAATAAACAGTTATCAGGTGATAGTGAATAAATTGCAAAGACTCACAGAACCGATCAAATTCTAATCATCAACAAGTGTGATGCATAGTAATATTCGTACGACGATACAGTATTGCACCACTTTCAAGACACCACGAATCCTCAATCACTGACGTTTTACTGATCACCTCACAAAATGTGGTACCCTAGTGTGTGCGGTCATGTATTCCACCTAGAGATCTACGCACCAGTTTCAACTAGTAGCATGTGTCAACCATCGAACTAATCATGGAAACTGTTGGGAAGTCAGCAATTTCACTTGCACATTAAGGTGGTTATGTCGTCCACTTCACACGATGATGTCTACCATTAGGCTGGACGATTGTGCATCAACTGTTCACACAGAAGTATCCTATGCATTTTGGTTATCTGTCATAAAACATTTTGTCACATCTCATATATCATTTCCAATGACTGTGATCAGAGTTATCAGCTCACTGTTCATCCGAAGATAAGCTGCTACATTTAGTTATGCGACTGGTTGCTTGAACTTGCCACCTTCTTTCGGACGGGTTCGTACTATACACCTTGAACTAAAGACGTGGAACAGTTGATGGGTGAGTAGTTGTGTGCGCGTGTGTGTTTTCTGATGGATTTCACTCGTTCTCTTCAACTGCTGCAATATTGCCCAATTAGTTGAAGAGGTTGTGGAATGCCAAACAAGTACACAGGCTTATTCACTGCATATTTAAACAGGAGGAGAACGCTACAGAGGTGCCCTCAATATGCAACTGCGCGTGGTTACATCAATGCTTTCACGAGATTTTCCCCCATGATACACTAATCGCATATTTGTAGTTCCTCATTGATATCTTCTGTTACCCTTACTTATCGGATTTTTTATCGTTTCAGCCCTGTTCATCAATGAAACAGATTGTGGGTATTGGAAAATGGAGGTAAACATGAGTCAAATTCACTTTATGCATACTTGTCTATCAACTCACAATGAACTGTGCGATTCGTTCATTTGCACACCTACCATTGCTTGTTGTCATGGAAGTGTAGTTCAAGTGCTTGTGCTTATGCTCAAGTATCCTTGCCTGCACTCCAGTCACTAGCAAGCATACCTGCTGTAAAACAAATTTTCGATCACATGTACTCATGCTGATGGACACAACTGTTTACAAGCAATCGAAAATTCACCTTCAGTGGCATGATTACTATTGTCCCATGTTTGAGTTGTTGCCATTTTCTCCTGGTTAATAAGTCGAACCACTGTATACAGGTTTGTATATGATTGAAACCGATACAATTCACAGCTGGTTTGATGGCTGTTAAATTTCCCTTTCCAACAGTTAGTCCCAAAGTCACTGAGTATCGAAGAGGTGATATTCCGAGATTGTTTGACATGGACCAGTATGCAGCTCCTCTATTCATGACCATTGATATTTGAATTTGAGAAGGTTATTACCGCAAATGTTTAAACACTTTAGAATGAATCGGACTACCTCCTGGATGACAACAGAATGCAATTTCCCCAACAATTTCGGAAATCCGGTGAGTTAGTTTGGACATTCATCTCATAAGTTTCCTGAAAATACATGTACATTTTGCACCGGTTTTCGTCTCAGCACCACGAGAGTAACAGTCTGACTGACATTTTGTCCAAAGTTCTGAGGTTCATAGTAGTTTGATAACTGATTGGAGCTTGAGAATAGCAAACTTCAGAGAACCAGTCGAATTTCTGAGACAGTCAACAGCGCATCAATGACGTTTTGCACTGAGACTAGTTCTAGAGCTCAGGCGGACTTATCAGGGATGGATATGTGAAATATTGGTTAACATGAGAGCTGTAATACAGCTCAGCACAGCTCAGCTCAGCTCAGCTCAGCTCAGCTCAGCTCAGCTCAGCGACTGAACACTGTTACTGAAGTATCTGACTGTGGAAAGAGTGCCAATCAAAGTGTATTATATCGATCAAGTCTCTCAGCAGAGCTGTATACAAGTGTTTGGGTGAATTCTTCGAGTCGTGATTTGTGGTAACGGCAACCAGCAAGATACTTCATAGCTACTCGCGATTATAATTCATGCTTATTTATTCTTTGCATTACAATGCATTGTCTTAGGGACGAACATTCCAGCTGGATAGCTGTTGAGAGATTAGCAGTGCACCGAAAACTTTGTTCTGCCAAGCTAGTCTGTGGATAAAATGCGAAGTTTGCTGATTGCTTTATGCGATTCACACTTGTCCAACGCAATATGATGTTTCAGCACTGGCCCGCACTGACACTCACTTCTACAACAGAAGGTTAAACAGTAGAATGTGTTGACCACTTCACTTACCTTGCAGGTAGCATACGTTCGGATGGGTTGGTTGTTGAATAGATGTCACAGCCTAGATGTAGCACCTTCGTTCGTGATTGACCAACATACGTTGCCTCTGATGCTAGGCATTGGAAGTGCAAGTTTCGAGTAGGCTACAGTCTTCTCACCATCAGTTTCCTCACACTGATGCACATGTATGGTGAAGCTATCATGTAAGCTACCCTATCTTCCGATTAGAATATACGTCAAGGGAGGCAAGCTGTGAACCTGCAACGAACACGGTAGTTGTGATAGGTGCAGCACATGCAAAACTATCGCCTACCTTGATGGGAAGTGTTAGCTGAGAAAACTGTGGCGTAGAAGGAAGCTGACTTGTCGAACCCATGTCTGGCATCAATACATCACGCCTCAAGTGAATGACGTTCTGTGTCATGTGAACCTGAATGTGTGTAGGCTTCCTAGTCACGGTCCTCGAGGTGATAGAAATCGATGGTTGCTGAATCCTGCTCATATAGCTTAAGTGTACATACATTTCCTTCAAAGAGTTTGAAATTGCTCTACCTCCCTCTGTTCATTTCCTCCCATTTGATTCGCCATGATTTCAAAATGCAATATCCAGTGAACTCCATTAGAACTGCAGTTTACAGCAGAACAATACAATCTCGTTTGTTTCATATTCGTGGAGATGAGTGGAGGATGATTTGTGCAGGGAACTCATATATTAGTGTTTACATTTCTCAAATGATATTTCGCTCATACTTTGCAAGCTGACTTTGATAATGTTGACTGTATTCATTGGTGAAAGCTTCATCTTTGCTCCTTTCACACTTGTCACATACCCTTGAACAATAGCGAGGAGTGATAATGAAACTTAACATTTAGCGTCAAACAATGTTTTATTCAACAATCATCTGTCGAGAGCAATGTGACATCATGTGAACTAAAGATGGTGGATAACTCAAGCAGATTTCTTTCGTGAACATTTCATGCATTCATCCATCCACTGTGTTTTCATGTCTTCCATAAATCTTCAGAGAGAAATTGAGGAGTTGGAAAGCTTTTGGCCGAATCCCTTGGACAATCCACTACATTAGTAAGTCAGTTATTCTTCCCATATCAGTTTAACGTCCACATTACTCCGTACAGATTGCATATTTTTTGGTAATTCTGACCACTTCCTGCTGCTGGTATTTCTCTCATCAAGTCTCAGACTCATCCCCACACGAGTGAATCCTATCCGTCTTTTGCACAACTTGACGCATTTCACATGCACCAAAATTTACGTCGAAATTGACCACAGAAAACCCTTCTACAACACACAGACATTACTAAACTCGGTAGACTGGTACGCTTTGTGGACTTGCTGATAGCTGAAGATTAGCATACGAAAATTGGAGGCTGTCAGGTGGTATGCATTTATGTGATGTATCGATAGATAGTAGCCTCATTGGTGGTTAACTTTCGTTGATTGTCCTCAATAAGTGACAAACACGCTTTAGAAGCCAAAATGAGAGTGCTGTTTGAAGCATGAAGTCTGGATGATGACGAAGATGTCGTTGTGTGTGACGCTAAGAGGCAGAACCAGGTGACAAAATCATATCTTTCCGGCACTGTGTTTACTGATTTTCGACAATAACGGATGTGAATAAGTCCCGTGAATTCAATGTTTTGCACATTTCACACTCGTAATCACCTTAATTTTGCTTTGCTTCACAATTGTCCTTCCAGTCGAAACCTGTACGATATCTATGGAGCTTGTTCGGTTCCGGGTGTGCCGAGTGCGAAATCGTATTTTACGAGAGGTGTACAGTTGTTGTTCAGTCTCCGAACGTACGTGAAAATCAAGTCTGTTTTATAATATTTTAACTTGATAACTGTGATCACCTTGACTGTTAATCAACACAAAAAGTGTGTGGCATCGATGTGAATTTAGTGATCCACGTGTACATGTCAAAGTGAACAAATGCGAAGAAGATAGTTATTTTAAGATGGTGGAGAATGCTGTTACCTCAGGTGGGTGACTTGCATGGTGCTGACTGTTATGAGCCAAATGGGTTATTCGCGAAGCTATCCGAATATATATCTGGACAATATCATTGGGAAAAACCCCGAACACGAACAACATGCTTGTTATAGCACCAACAATCTCAGGCTTCCGCAAACATTTCTCATTTTGATTGCATTCACTTGAAATTTGAAACAAATATTGAAGTGCTGTAAAGACCAGCTCGATTGAAAGACGTCTTTTCTGATATTTTTTCTCTATAGTCGTCCCCAAAGTGAACGGATTTGGAAAAAATTTCAAGGTGACGACAAATATCATTCGGTAAGATTTATTCGCCTTATAAGTGATGGAAAACAATTTCGATGCAAGTATATACTATCCCAGCCTGTTAACAGTATTACAGACGATCAATTGGTATGCCTGAAATGTAAAGACTGCAGTCTTCAATGGTATATGATTCTGCTCAAGGTAGAATGTAGCTGTTGCTCAGCGATGATTCCTAACTCTTATGATGTCCAGTTAAGAAGTATTCAGGCATAGTTCATCTGAAACATCTGACACCATAATGACACCATGAAGAGCCTAACAAAATATTGAATCGACATCATTTTGCAGGAGTATTTTGGTGACGTGTTGATTTCTTCACAGCCATAGCACACTCTTACGATTATCGTTTCAGGCAGCAGAAGTGAAAGCGGATCTATACAAAGTGTTTGGAATGCAACCCGAAATTATCTGTGCTGAGAATGGAGTAAGTGATATTTGTGCAATTAATAAACATTATAACACTGCACAACAAATGCAACTTGTGTTTCCGTTAATGCCTGCGATAAGGTTTTGGAAACAGCTGATGGTGTGAAGTGCAAACGGCAGTTCACGGCCATTTCGTAACGCCTTTTGTGAAGATTCCTGCCTGACACAGTGTCTTACTGAAACGGCTGGAACTCCGCTCAATTTCAAGACCACAGTGTTGTTGTTTCTGTCGGTTTTGCAGTCTCGATCACTGTTCAAGCATCTACTTCATCCGACTGACCTGGATTCGTTAATACACGGTAGTCAGATTTGCGTGAACAAGTTAGTTAGTCAGTGAAACACACACCACTCTTGACTGACTAGTAGTATATACTTGGGTCATATTTCATTTTTGTGTATGTGTCACACATTGAAGCAGTCTTATGTACTCATGACGTTTGGAGTAGAGTTTACTGCACATGATCATTTCAAAGTTATAACTACGACAAACAAATTGTGCTTGAAACATAATCAGTGTATAACACCGTCTCACTGTATCATGCATATGTGAAAATGTGCGAAAATATGTTTCGTCACCTGCAAATCAGATAGTAACTAGTCCATCTCACTCATATCAAGTACTTGTTCACTTCATGGATGTTCTGCAATTTCAGTGCTCTCCAACTACACACATGCCTCACTTGGATGGTAACACTGTATTCCTTCCACTGATGACGCATTTGAGTCTCAGATGAGTCAAAACTCGATGATAGTAGTTCCACAGTATCAAGTTGTCAGGCTAAACACACAATTCGACCGTACAGAGTAGCGTTCAAATAACCGGATATGGTTGTAGAAATTCCCTCTCTGCCTCTGTAACACACAAGCACATTCAGTAGCCTTCTGTTGCGTGAATGGTTGTAGGTACATGAAATCCACTCTGTGGCAGACACAAAATATGTTACAAAACTGAGTTTCACTTATTTCTTTTGCAGAATGGCGAATCTCTGCTACACGAAATTGTGTTTTGCTTCAATGAAAATTTGTCACCGATTGACTGTCCACCGGAATCGACCAATGATTTGGAGGTATTTCCGAAATCCATCTACGAAGAAAACCATAAAGCAATAGTACGTCAAACGATCTGTAGCAAACCATTTCTTCTGCTATCACCAGCTACAGCCTCCAAGACCCTGATCAAGAGAAATCTTGGAGTGGAAAAGACCAAGTGAGGTCTTCAACCTTCAAAGTATGGCACAGTTTCGCAAATGGAATTTGTACCAGTTGACAGTATAATCGATAACAAGTTACTTTAATGCTACATGTGATGTGTTTCACTGAGTGAGCTTTTCCTTAAATAAATTTAACACTTTTAAGCATAAGTGTCCTTCGTTTTCCTCCTAATGGTTTGCGATAGTGGACAATCAATCAAAGTGTGACTGTATGACTTTGGCGAAGGATAGAATATTTTGTATCCACTTTTACTCTTTAGTCCCCAAACACACTGTAGCGTGGAAAACACAAGTGATATCGAGATTTTCTCCCACTGCAACATCGCCACCAGCTCTGAATTTATGAGAATCATCATTATATCTATAGTTGATGCATTGAAGGTGAGTCACCTTCCACTTCCTTGTCCACAGCCTGTACTTATTTGGATAGAAACAAGCCGTTCAAATGCTCGTACTGACTCACTTTTTACAATTTATACCAACACTGGCTTCTAAAATCTGTCGAAATTCAAGCTTATGAATAGTGGGAAGAGTATAATTCGAAAAGTTACCAGGATCAGCTGTTAAATTCTCATCTGGGGAAGATATGTGTTGGTAGTGGAGTAGTTTGAAGGCATTAAATTGCCAGAAATCGATCTGCAGTCTCCGGCAGTTCCATTATGCTTGAGTGCTGTGGTTCGCACTCACGTTCATAGCAGATTTGTTTTTGCATAGCAGTCGTCACGTGAGTCCAGTGAAGAGGACATGAAATGTCGCAGGAATCATATCGATATGACGACTTTCTGCATTACAATATTGAAGTGAGACTTCAGTACACAATTTGCAGTTCTACAAATCTACTGGATTCAATGACACAGTGCCAGTAGTTCGCTCTTCTGTCACATTGTGAACAGCAATGTGATCGAAAACACTAACAGACACTTGAAGTTTAGGAATACGCCAACTGGAAATTGAAACTGATGCTGTCACAAAGAACCTTATCGCCAACAGAATAACTTTCTCTGAAGAGGATTAAACTGCAGTTTGCAGAATGTGACTATGCTCGTTTTGCATACAGTTTCTATGTGTTCACTCAAAACTAGTGGAATATCTGCAGGAAATTGAAAAGAACTATTACAGCACCCACTGACTATGGATGGCAAAGAACCACTGAATTCGTTCAATTTATACACGAAAATGTTAATAAATCCGGCGGTTTAGGGAGCAGTAAACGTTATCATGGACAAAGTATATCAAGTAAAAAAGAGGAAGAAGCACTCGTTGATGAGATTGACTATCAAGCATTGAATAAAAATCTTTTGCAACAGCTGGACAATGGAAAACTGCTAAAAGCTTCGTAGAAATGATCAATCTATATCTCACATCACTACTTCATTTTGGCAGGAAGACTGACAAGCAAATTAATGGTACTGGTGGGCTCGATCATGTCCACAATCATGTATAAGACAGTCAGGCAGAGACAAGGATGAGTGGGCATCAAAATGATGAAACCAAAAACTTTGATTCATTGAGTTAATAACATATTTGTCATTATCAAGCAAAGCGAGTTTGAAAATTCTTTCAATATTATCAGCCAAGCGTTTCAAGTTATTCAATTTAAAAAAGAAGCAAAAGAAGGTAATGGTAAAATCACGCCCCTGGATATTCCTATCAAAATGATACATGATGCGATATGACAAACTAAACTATACAGTAGGGTGACACATCTAAATCAAATTTTCAACTACAACAGTAACAACACCATGTCTCATTAGCGGAGTTTTGTTTAGGAATTATTCACATCTGCCATGACGCCTCATAGTGCTCAACAGCTTCCGCTGTCAGATGAAAATCCTGCTTACATGGTGTTCAGAACCAATAGCTACCCTATTAAAATCGAGAAATGTATGTCAACAGGATACTTCCCATAAAATTCACCGAAACTTACGAAAGGAATCGCTTCGATGCGTATCAAGGATTTCACAGAAACTGCCGACAAATTATCCCACCTCTTCCGTAGTAGTATGTAACAAAAGCCAACGAAATTCCTGCACGGCATCCCACGCGAGCAGAAGGATTGACTATCCAAAGAGGAAAAGTTCAGTATAGTCTAAAAAATTAGTTGGAAGGAATGCTAAAATGACAATGTTAGCTGATCCAGCTGTCGAATGGCGCATTGAATTAAATGCTCCTCGCTTTCTTCGAATGCAGTTGCAATTGCACAAGTACGAATACTAACGATAGAAATAAATATTTTATCCTCATATTGGTAATTTAACGTGAGAAAAGCCAGTTTACAGACATCATCACATTCATATATGTTGAAAAATTTAAGAGATTTTATGGGCTCTGAATGCTACAGAAGGGAGGTTATTAAATCCCATTAAAAATATCGGAGGATTCCACAAGTTATGAAATGAACAAGAAAATATCACTTTCCAGCACATACAGAGTGTTAAAGTCCAGATCGTTTTCAGTCATACTTCTCACCATTGGTGGCACCAAGGTCGCGCAAAATCCCAAATTTCCATTAAGAGCAGTCAACATGTTTGACTCGTCTTCGCAATGCCATGTTATGTGAGATAAGCGTCTACTTTACCATAAATTCTTATGCTTATAGCTTCGGGAACCAAAGGGACCCACAGTGGCAATTTTGGGAATCTGTAAGTTTCCACATAATCATGCAATCCAAGTGAATATCTATTCAAGTGTTACCGTTCACAGCAATATAGATTTATGTCATAAGAGTTAGATATTGTGGTGCAAAGGAATAAACATTTGAAGGACTACAGACCAATGGCAATAGGTTTTCTTACTGTTCACGTTAAGGTATGCAGCAATATGAAGTAGGTATATTCACTGTTAGATGAAGTGCTAGAGAAGTCTGTTGCATAGCATTGTTGTGAATATGTTCACTTTAGGGTCAATAGGTGAGCTGATCTCCTAGATTTTACTGTCTGTCCGGATTTTTATTGCCCTTATGACCATCCAGAAATTTGAGTGGTTCGAGGATTGATAAATGTTGACATGGTGAAAGAGTCAAATAAGTGAATGCGATTGCTACTTCTTACTTAATGGACAGTAATTCTTGTGGGAGCAGCTTTACTCCTCCTAAAAGAATAGAATGTTGAGAACTGGTAACACATATTCCTCATTTGTGTAGTGTTGTCATCATTGAAGGTTATCTTGATGATGTGGGTCGTCGAAGTTTTGAGTTAAATCCTTTGTTCGTTTAGCGTTAGGATTTCTAGATAGTTCAGTAAGTTTTCATCATAGTCCATTTTCCTCATAATCTGATATCTTCATGTGCAACTATCTGAAATTTCGGTAGAGAAAATGTGCAGCCTCTGTACCTTTGTGGCTGTAAAATGTTTATATATTAAGAGGTCCTATTATGTCTGTAGTTTTGGTAGCAGTATTAATGGTACGTTTTATAGCACTGTCCTGTAATGTAGAGTTGGGCTATCTTATAAACTTAGTCAAAGCGTTTGATTCACGCGCTTCCTTAGGTAAACTGTTCCATATCTGAGCATGTTTTATCTTAAAGAAGTTCGGCCTAGTGACTGTTTTGAAATGCTCAATGCTGCTGTTGCAGTTGTGTTTCTTTATCTTTAAATGACTTGTATCATGGACCAGACACGACAGCGGATTAGGTAGGTATATTATCGCGTTTTAGCAAAAAACCAATCGCTTTGCCTGCCATTGTAAGGAAACATTTACGTTGATGAGAGTCCCAGAGTGTGATCGGGGCGCTCTTTGGTCACTATGGTGGCCAAAGAGTGGTTATCTGAAGGAAACCTTTGACTACCAGATGTCGCCACAATCCTTCAGCGCAGTGTTATCACTTTGTGGACATTTTGCGAGGACGAAGATCGCGCAGTTTTCTGCTAACGATTATGATACTTATGTGATGGAGACAGTAAAGCATAATTTCTATATTGATGATTGCCAAGTATCTTTTTTGAGCCGTGAAAATGCAAAGACATTCATGAAGCACTTAGATAGGTTGATGTTGCGGGATAGTTTTAAACTGAAAATGTGAGTGACTAATTCAGAAGTGGTGAGAGTAGTCTTTCCGAGTCTAAACAACAGAGACCTCAGTTAACCTAAGTGTTAGTCAAGGTTCAACCCACAGAACCCTAGGTCTAGAATGGGATACAACACGTCTTTAAGTTTCGTTTCAAACCTACTACAAAACACTTCACAAAGAGAGGAATACTATCTACTGTCTCAACTCTATTCGACCCACTAAGTTTGATTGCCCCAGTTTGTTTTCTAGCCAAGCAACTATTCCAGAGTCTTTGAAAGTCTCATATTGGTTGAGACCAACCTCTGAGTTGTAATAACCTATCCCTGTGGATAGACTGGATGATGTTCATGCGGAATCTTTGACGAATCACTGTACCCAGAAGTATTAAGGAGGATGATAAAGGTGATGTGTAAAAGATTGAGCTACGCTTAGTTTTCAATGCATCTGAATCTGGTTATGGAACGGTTGCTCATTCGTGGAACGTTCCTAAACACACATCGCAGTACAGCACACGACCGTAAAGATAATCTCAGGTCGCCCCTCTGAAAACTGTAACAGTATCGAGTTTAGAGTTAGCTGCAGCAGTATTGAGCGCCTGAATGAAATTTTGAAGACGAATATTCCAGATATTTTTTATAAGGCATATTTTTGGATAGATTCTATGACTGCTCTGTACTATGTTAAAAATACAGAGAGTCGGTATAATACGTTCGTGACCAGACATCTAGCCATTATTCATCAGTGTTCGTCCCCAAATCAGTGGGGGATACATTAAATGACGAGAATACGGCAGATTGGACTTCAAGAAGCATGCAAAGAGTGTGTGATTTAAAGTCTTGGATTCAGGGTCCATCATTTCTAAGAAACCGAGTTTTCAAGTCCCATAGACCTCGACTGGAAAGAACCACCGAAGTGTTGAGTTCGAAGGTCGGCCCGAGTAAATAGGCGTCACTAAGCTCACTGCTGATCCGATTTTGTCATATAATTCGGATTTTGTAAGGTTGGTTAAAGCTATTGCCTGGCTCAAAAATATGTGGTCTACATAACTGTTTTGTTTTTGTGGAAAAGACCAAGTGAGGTCTTCAACCTTCAAAGTATGGCACAGTTTCGCAAATGGAATTTGTACCAGTTGACAGTATAATCGATAACAAGTTACTTTAATGCTACATGTGATGTGTTTCACTGAGTGAGCTTTTCCTTAAATAAATTTAACACTTTTAAGCATAAGTGTCCTTCGTTTTCCTCCTAATGGTTTGCGATAGTGGACAATCAATCAAAGTGTGACTGTATGACTTTGGCGAAGGATAGAATATTTTGTATCCACTTTTACTCTTTAGTCCCCAAACACACTGTAGCGTGGAAAACACAAGTGATATCGAGATTTTCTCCCACTGCAACATCGCCACCAGCTCTGAATTTATGAGAATCATCATTATATCTATAGTTGATGCATTGAAGGTGAGTCACCTTCCACTTCCTTGTCCACAGCCTGTACTTATTTGGATAGAAACAAGCCGTTCAAATGCTCGTACTGACTCATTTGGCATTTGTCGGAGTTCAGAGGATTGCTGTCAGCCTGTTTTGTGTGAATGTCGCAACTTCGCCTCATGTATATACTTGGGCTGCTCCTATGTTGGCTTCCACTGTACCAGCAGTGGTCAGTGCTATCACAGAAAATGCATGTGAGGCATTTGTGAATGCGAGTGGCACACAGGTGTTCAGCCAGTCGATGAAACCCACATGTGAACCTGTGCTGGTTATGTGACTTGGTATTTTCGACATTTTTATGGCCAGATACAGTGCAACGAAACAGTTTACTTTATATTATTTAAATTAAATTAAGTTATTTTGGACGTTCCATACTTATTCCGACGATCTTCCAATCTGTCAACTTACTTTGGGTTAGAGGCTCTCGGCCAGGATAGACGGAGATCAAAGACTCATTCCATTCTGACGAAATGGATTTCAGGTCCTAACCTCTCTATCAGTGTCCACTCTGAAAAGGCCTTCCAGTAAAATTACTGTTGCACAAACAGGAACATTGAAAGTACGATAACTGTGACTAAATGACGACAAATTCCAAATTTCTCACTCAACTATTATCATGGACCAATGTAGTGAAACTTGGTCCAAATCAGGGTCGTAGTTATGAGTTTGGATCTACACTTGACCATTCCAGATACACTAGGCTAACTTCGGGTCATGGAATACACCCACGGCTATGTATAAGTAATCTCGGAGCCAAACTGAACCATGTTTCTCACCTTTAAGACTGGCGCTACTCACTTTTGAACAGTAGTATACACGACTTCACTGGATTCTTTCGACTTT